AAATATGACTTTTAAGTTAAGCCTTGGGTTGGATTAGTTTCCTACAATATTGCCCACTTTAGGTTTTGAGCAAGGTCAACATTACAGTTGAAAGTCGAGCATAGCTCCTTTCAATGGCTCTTAGTGAATTTATAAATTAAAATATTGTAAGCCTGTACTTAAATCCCGTAAAATGTAAATACCCCAAAATCAACTTCGAGTGCCATGAAAACTAATTGCAACTACTTAATTAAAGACATCGTCCGAAACGAACTTTTAATTGTGACCCCTGTGAAGTGTCTTCAATTTGTATATTGTTGAATAGATTAGCTTTTCCAGGGTCTCTTAAGTGTATTTGAGTTGTTAATCTATGGCCTATTAGACCCTTATTGTTGACAAACATTATAGACAATGCAGCTCGTGCAATGCTTTAATGATATAAACAGCAAACACTTGAGCAAATTGCGCATGTAAACAGCCCAAAGGAAGCGCTTCCAAGTGGGTTACGCAACAACAACAACAACAACGACAACAAGTAAGGGTATACCGGGTGCTAGACCCTGAAAAGTGATTAAAAAACAAGAAGAGAAACTTGTTGTAGAAACGACAACAGCAGCAGCAGCGGAAGCCGAGGCAGCAGCGGCGTTGACAGCGTTTCGTCCTTGAGAAAAGGTTTTAAGCATACCAGAGCCGAAAATGGGATGGGCGGTGCATGGTGAACGGTGCGCGGGGTGCGGCAGCCAAGCCGAAAAAAGCCTTTTTGGCGCAATAACGGTACAAGCGTTACAGTTTTTCATTATAGAAACCGTAATTGGAAAAGTGTTTTGGGGCTGGCACTCGATGCTTTTAGCTCAAATGTCAGACAATGCAGAGAGCTCGAGCCCTGTGAGGGTTGGGCTGATGGTAGATGGGCGCGTGGGGGGCACAGCTGTTGGCAGGAGCAGGATGCTAGGCAATGTGTTGTCCGATTTGTTGGCTTTTGTGGGTCGTCGTCAGGGCGCCTGTCGCCGAGGTCTGGGGTCTGGGGGCTTAGCTGGCAAAGGATTGGGTTCTGGTCGGCTGCTTGCTGAAGCGCAGCTGCTTGAGCTTATTTAAGCACAAAGGACGCGCCGCAGGACAAAGACGAAGAGCAGCAGCCGGGAGCAGGCGGCGCACAATTTGTCCTTAACGTTGCAATCGCTTTGCTTGTTGCTTGTTTGCCATTGTCTAATTGTTAACCATTTTTTCTCTCACTCACACTCAGTGTGCTAGTGTGTTTCTATAAATTTTGTTGCATTGTTTGATTGTCACACGCTTCAGCATTGTCCATGTGTGTGTGTGTGCAGCCAGGCCAAATAACATTTGTCTAATGAAAGGCACCAGGACTCATGTCATCTCTGCCTTGCTCTATCTCGCTCTCTGTTCCTCTCTCTTTCTCCCTCACTCCTGCTCTCTCTCTCTCTCTTTGCCTAGCCTCGATGCAAGCTCTTTTCACGCTTGACTATTTTAAGCACATTACATATGATTCATTATTATTATTATTATTATTATTATTATTATTATTATGATTGCCATTGCCGGACAGGCACTCCAATCAGAACCATCCATCAAAATGTTTGCCAGGCCACAAGAACAATTCCATAATAGACTGAACAAAACCAATTACAAAATGCAACAGCTGTTGGCCAGACCACGAATGAGATACCCTAACTGCAAAGGAATGCCAAGCAGAAGGGTTTTATGCACTCGTCTATGTGTAAAATTCTATTCTTATTCTATATGCATATTTAGCTTAAGTTTTTATCAGAGAACTTTCCATTCTCTTATCTAGGGGACTATTTAGTCACTTCCTTTACCGAGACAGCTCTGCCTCTTATTTTCTCCTTCAGCTCGTAAGCTTATGACAGCTTCCAGATTCTTGATATCTATCCTTGTGCTGTCCTCTGCTTTGCTCTATGTATTTCGTAATGCTTAAGTGGATTGCTCAATCATTGCTGCGTAATTTCAATCTAGTTTGCGGTTAATTATAACATTGAGCATAATATGAACAGGACGAGATTCTCGAGCAGCAGCAACGGGTGCAGGTGAATTGGCAAATGTTGCATGCAACAGACTGATGCAAATTGCAAGTTTGAAGCGAGCTGAAAACGATTTGTGATTTACTCGTTGCTCTAGCCACAAAAATTCCAATTACCAGGGGAGAACGTAAAGTTGTTGGGATTCAAATCTGTGCAAAAGACAGGTAGACACTCATACATACATACGCACTGTATGACATGGCAACAACAATATGGTTTCAATGTGTGCGAGTGTGGCAAGCGGCGCAGAAAAGTATGCTACAACAATTTCGCACGGCGCTGTTAATTGGAAACTGTGTGTGCGAAACTGTAAAACCAATACACACACACACATTTATACATATGTAAAGAGAGGGAAAACGAGAGAGGGAAAGAGAGAGTGAGTGCGGAGCGTTCTGTGCAGCAGATTCACATCTCGCATTAGCTGCAGTTGAGCGAGTGTCAAGGTGAGGCCAGGTGCGACGCAGCCAGGCAGAAAACAGGCAGCAACTAGCTAGCAAACAGCAACAGCAACAGCAACAACAACAACATGAACAACAACAGCAACAGCTGGCTAAGCTGCTGCACTATTTTGGTTTTTTTTTTTCTTTTTTTTTGGGAGGCTCCATATCTAGATTTGGCATCTGGCCAAATCACGTAATCGGCGACTTGTTTATGGCGCATGTGCCAAAAGGGAATGGGCCCAATATACTCTGAATTGTGTCGAAAACACACAATAAAATCGTGTGCCGATCGAAAGTGTTCGACTAACAAATACCCAACTAGTCAATATCAATGAAGCGAAAAGTTTTCAAGCCACACAAAATATTTAGTATGACACGAGCCAATAAATATCGATTAGCAACTATTGTAATTTATGTACGCCTTAAGATTTCGGCTTATAGCAAATAATATATAAGTAAGAAAAAGTCTTAAACTTCGATAAAATACCTAATTTAAATCGATATTTATCGATTACTTTTAGTTGTATGCAATATTCAAGTAAAAGCTTAAACAGAGTTGATTGCCGTTATTAACTGTTGCCTGTTACATTAACAGTATTAAAAGCAATAATACCCCTTATTTCCCATTTGCCCAATGGTCATAGGGTATAATTAATTTCAATTAGCGTCAATTTGTTGAATGTCCCATTTGCGCCGCACGGCAATTTGCAAGCCTTTTAAAAATAAGTACAAATAAAAATGTTTCATAAATCACATTTGATTCGATTTCATTGAAATTGTTTAAAAAATATGGCGAAATCCAAAAGCCGAGCTCGATTGAATTTCGCATTTTTCTCTTATTTAATTTCTCGTTGCACTGGGGCAAATGCGAAAATTATAGCTGGCTGCCGCAGCCACTGCGGCACTTGAAAAGCGCTTTACGGCATATGCCACGCCTCCCTAGAGGCGGCGCTCAGAGTTGAGGTTCAGGCTTATCCGCAACCAGCTACTGCGCTCACTGGGGAATCCTTGTATTCAGCGCGCATTTTATTTGCATTCGTTTGCTTTTGTCTTTTACAGTTTTTACGCTTTGTATTATTATTTTGGTTTCTGTATTCTTTCATCATCTGAGCATGTGCCACTTGTTTGAGGGCGTGGCAGTCCCCAGTGCATAGCGCCAAGCATAAATGACAATATGAACAATCTGGTTAATTATCCAAAGACTATTTTATATAGACTGCTGGGAGCCCTCGAAATTGATTGTCAAACAGGTCGAGTGAAAATAATATAGAGATTGCATATAAAATATTATTAAAGTTATCTAATCAGCTTTAAAATGTGTTATATGTATGCATATATAAAATGCCAAATTATTTATAAGATGACTTTTTTTTTATATACTAACAAAAATTTACTTTTCATTTATATAAGAAAACTACATACATATATTTCATCCTTAATCCATTTTTAGTTGAATGTTCAAAAATCGCAATATAGAGAGAGCATTAGATAGTTTGTATACAGAATACTATACGGAGCTTAACGATGTTTATAGCTGCTTTTATGGCCAGCGGAGCACTTTCAATTAAATTGCAATTTGCGTTGATATAAAATTGCAATTGACGTAATTGGAACTGTGAGTCAGTGTGTAAGTGTGTAAGTGTGTAACTGTGTATGTGTGTTTTAGTAGATGCATGTATGAGTGTGTGTGTGTGTGTCTATTGGGTGATACTTCTGACATTTTTAAATGCACTCAAATGGTGACTGCACATGAAACGGCAATCAGCATAATTTTAACGATGAATGCAGTTAAAGTTAATTGCATGTAAAAAGTGAGCGCGTGGTGACAGCCCTCCATAGGTAATTACATCGCTATCTATCCATCTGGTGGAGGGCGGGAGGCACGCACAGATAACATATATATTTACATATGTTAATATACAGTTGCAACCGCCTAGCCGCAATGTGTCAGCCAAAGCTGTGGAGCAGTTAAAGTGACGATAATATCGAGTGAACTATTTGATAGAAATATAAATATTAATTACGGAATAAACTGTGAAATGTGAATATATTGAAAATGTGGCTTAGGCTTGGCAAATTCCAAAGGTAACCGCATGATCTGTTTCACTTTTATGTTTATTGCAAAATGTCAAAAATAACCACATAAACTGGTTCATGCTTTTGTTTATTCTGAAATCTCAAACCACATGAACTGGTCCATTTCTATTGCCACTTATATGTGGCTTAATGGCAGATGTTTATGTAATTTGATGATCAGATATTAAAAGCCAATGAACCGGTTCAATATTAAGCTCATACTTAGAGTTATAAAATTAAGGTCTATATTCATCTGAGATTTGGGAAATATTCCAATGATATTCGGAATATATATTAATGCTAGGTTTAAGCCTCGATTTACACATATGAGCCAGAATACTCCAATTTTTCATGACATAATGTTCTAGCTTCGATCACGTTTACTTTTCGTTTTATAAACTTTAGGCCCAAATTTTATTTATTATATTTATTTTTTTTTCGGTGTTTCAAAATTCCAAGCATGTCGCGTTCACCTGGGGTACTGCTGCGTGTGAAGTTGGCAAAGTTCATAATGCGTACTGCTTGCTCGAAGGCGCCCAAACCTGATAGATGTCCGGAAATCAAGCAAACAGGCATCTTTATAAATAATGAGTGGAAAAATAGCACTTCGGGTGAAAAGTTTGACACTGTAAATCCAGCAACAGAGGATACGATTGCCTCCATCCAAAAAGGCGGCACCAAGGACATCGATCTGGCCGTGGAAGCGGCGCAAAAGGCATTCCAGTTGGGCTCGCCCTGGCGTCGCATGGATGCCTCGGACAGAGGTCGCCTGATGAGCCGCCTGGCCGATCTCATTGAGCGTGACATCGTCTATCTGGCGAGCCTGGAGACAATCGATAATGGCAAACCCTTCGCCATGTCCTACGCAGTGGATTTGCCACTGACCATTAAACATCTGCGCTACTATGCCGGTTGGGCGGACAAGATTCAGGGCAAAACTATAGCCGCCGACGGTGACTTCTTTTGCTATACACGGCACGAGCCGGTAGGCGTGTGTGGCCAGATTATACCCTGGAATTTTCCCATTCTGATGCTCGCCTGGAAGCTGGGGCCCGCTCTGGCCACGGGCAACACCATTATATTGAAGCCCGCCGAGCAGACCCCGCTCACGGCTCTGTGGGTGGCACAACTGATAAAGGAGGCAGGCTTTCCGCCAGGCGTGGTCAACATTGTGCCTGGCTACGGGGACATTGGCGCCCATCTGGCCAAACACCCGGGCATTGACAAAATCGCCTTCACAGGCTCCACGGCCGTGGGCAAACAGATTCAAACGTCTGCGGGTGCCGGCAACCTGAAGCGAGTGACGCTCGAGCTGGGTGGCAAATCGCCAAACATTGTGCTGGACGACGCCGACATGGAGTACGCTGTGGAGACGTCCCACTTCGGGCTCTTCTTCAACATGGGGCAGTGCTGCTGTGCCGCCTCGCGCACCTATGTGCAGGATAAGATCTACGACGAGTTCGTGGAGCGCAGTGCAGAGCGGGCCAAGAAACGCAAGCTGGGTGATCCTTTCGATGATCAGACTGAACAGGGCCCACAGATCAGCACAAAACAGATGGACAAGATCCTGGAGCTAATCAAAACGGGCGAAAAGCAGGGAGCCAAGATGTTAACGGGAGGAAAGCGGGCTAGTCAACCGGGCTACTTCGTGGAGCCTACAGTGTTCGCTGATGTCAAGGACGACATGACGATTGCCAAAGAGGAGATCTTCGGACCTGTGCAACAGATCATGCGATTTCGCGACCTCGAAGAGGTTATCAAGCGGGCCAATGACTCAAGCTACGGCCTGGCCGCATCCGTTTTCACCAAAGATCTGGACAAGGCCAATTTTCTGATCAACGCCTTGCGCGCTGGCACCGTTTGGATCAACACGTACAATGTCCTGGGTGCTCACACGCCCTTCGGCGGCTATAAGAACTCTGGAAAGGGGCGTGAGAACAGCGAATATGCGTTAACTAATTATACAGAGATCAAGAGCGTTATTGTCAAGGTGACAGAGAAGAACTCCTGAGTATGATGCACAGACACAGAAGTTTAGTAAGCTAGATTGCGATATTTATTATTGTGTAAGATTTACAGCAATTTAATAAATTATGTAAATAGAATCCTAGAATGACTCAAATGCCATATCTAGTTCTACTTGGGCATTCCCCACTTGAGTTTTCTTTCTGACTCTACTCTGAATTGCTGACTCATGGAAGGCTATGAAGACATTTATAATAATTTTGCCTTTATTAAAATTTACTGAGCTATGCATATCTATTAAAAAGTCTAAAGAAGATTGAGTTATGCACTATGACGCTTAGCGCTATTATTAGAAAAAAAAAAAACAAGAAAGTTGATGCTTAAATGTTGTTTAAAGTTTTCCATCCATTTTCGCAAACTCTGTGCACTTTTTCATTTTTTCTTAAATCGTGTTATAAAATTGAACGCTGCAGAGGAGGACAAAAACTTGGTCCGTCTTTGGACCACTCGACAGGGCTCGTAGTTTTATTAATTATGAAATTGCTTCCCTCCATCTACGTATATATATTTGTATATAGGTATGTATGTATGTGTAGCCGAGAAGTTGGCAACTTTTGCCACTTCAAGTCTGCAACGCTTGAGCTAAATTTGAATATTTGTCTTTTTTGATGCTCTGCTCTTATTCGGGGTGGATTAGTTAAGTCTAGCGGCTTGAGACTGTAAGAGCTGAATAATGCTTAAGAGATGATGATTGTTTTTTGTTTAACAGATCTATGATCTATAGCCTATGACTCTTCTCGTATACGTACTCTGAAAGGCTTTATTGTCCCTGCTCTAACATATAATATATATATATTATTTATTTATTTATAAATCAAAAATTTGATGAAGCCCTACCTTCGACATTCTCCCACCTTTGCTTACCGGGTATCTCGTTGTCGGCCAATCTCGGTTGAAGCACTTTTGCTTTATTATCTTTGCTGCATTTTTGACTACAAGAAACAAACTTTTCTCATTTGCAGATGTGCGCGCTGTGCCACACGTGGAATAACAAATTGAAGCTGCCCAGGACGTCACGCCCACAACGATTACAACTGCTGCAACTAGAAGACAGAGAGAACGAATCAGAAGAAGGAGAAGTGAGAGTAGAAGAAGAGCAACATCAGCACAAATTTTTATACAAAATACCCCGAACAAATCTAGTGATATGGAACTGTGCATAGCAACAAAGTCAAAAGCTCAAAGTTCAATGCATGAAATCAACTATCAAAATATTAATAATATTAATAAGAAACATAATAAGCGTGAATGCAGTAAAAGCAACAAAATATGCCACCAAAATCAAATGAATACTCTAACGAATACTCAACTATTCAGCCACGAATGCCACACGAAACACAGAGACCGAGACCACCTGAAAAAGCAACAACAAAACCAACGAGTAACTGCACAAAATAGCAACAAACACAACAACAGCAACCGCTATAACAACAAGAATTGCTATCTGCCATGCCACAGACTTTATCAACTGCTGCCACTGCTGCTGCTGCTGTTAGCATTGCTGCCACATGCGACAGCATCGCCCGGCAGCAGTCGACGCGATGCTCTGCTCGCCTACTATAAACGCGCTCAGGTGCGCGAAAGCGTGCCGGAATACCAGCTGCACGAGGCGAATGGCTTTGATTTCGATGAGCTGTTGCCCGTGGGCAGTGTGGTGTCCGCGCTGACTAATGCGGAACGCTTGCGCAAACGCAGCGCCACAACGACAACAACCACAGCCGAAGGCACACCACCAACAACGGCAGCAACAACAACAACATCACCAGCTGCAGCACAAACAACAACTTCGGCTATAGCCACAGCCACTGGCAGTAGCAGCAAAAAAGCAGAGAAATGTGAGCCAAAAGTCCTAGAGACGCTGCCCGATGAGCCGGTAAGTTTTCAATTATATTTGATAATACCTTAAATAATACCCCTTAGCTATAAATGCAAGTTATTTATGCTGGCATTTCAGCTGTTAACAGTTCGTTTATCAGATCTGTTAAACATTTTTGGCATAAATTGCACTGTTATGCAAGCGTAACTCTTTTTGTTTACAAGTTTGTGCTGAACTCTGCTATTAACATTTGTACCAAAAGTTGCGCTGTTATGGCCGCAAATCCAGTCTGTTAGGACCTGCTTTGTAAAGTATAAAAAGGAAAAGCCTAACTCATAGTTTAACAGCTAGCACATGAGACTGTTATTAACATGAAAGTTGTTATGATAGCCGTTTCACAGTCTGTTAACGTATTGATGTTTTAATAACAGCCATCCAACTGTTATTAACATTTGTGCTCTTTGCAAATCTGCAATGAGTGCTGCTTGATCAAACAAAGGCAAAGACTGAACTGATCTATATAAATACAGAATTGTAGATGTTTTTCTCAGCTTAACAAACATTCAAATCGAGACATTAAAAATAACTATCAAAATATTTGCTTCTCAAGCAAAAAACAGATACTAATACTGAAAGAAATAAATTTCGCTATCCTAATCTACATTTGTCTTTAAAGAGTAGTTTTACAATATGCTCTTAAGGTCACAATCTCAAACTAGTAGTATATGACCTTCAGGGATACTCTAGAAAAACACTTTTAAATGCACCAAAACTTTGATTGACAGAACATTTATCAGATTTAATTGGATAATCCATTAATTATCTCAATTTTGTAAGCTATTTCTGTCATCCGCTTGGGTCGTTTGGGGGACAATTGTTTTGGCTATGGGAAAAATTGCAGCTTGCAATCGACCCAAAGCGGGCAATTAGCATGAATATTTAAAACTGCTAGCTTAGCAGTTGATAAAATGCTACTCGGTCGAAAATGTCACAAGCAGAAGGAGATGGAGAAGCAGAAGCAGAAGCAGAACCGACAGCCGCAGAAGCAGCAGCACGGGGGGATGGGCGTATTCATTTTTTTCGGTGTCTAATCAATAAAATTGCTGAGGCAGCAACCCCACTTGACACCCTTGGTCTCCCACTGACGTGGCTTCTCGAGCATAAGTTGAATCAGACTTTCGCATTTTCATGCTGACAAAAATCTTTTTGCGCGCACGAAATTCGAAAGAAAAACCCAGGCAAAAGCCCATCCTGCCTCGCCATGTTGTTGACGGTCGTAAAAAATATTTCGCATACGCCATGTCTGACGCACATAGTATCTAGCCACAAGCCGAAGGAAAACTGGGCAACAGAGGGTGTGGCAGGGCTACAGGTATTACATGGGATTTGCAAGCAGGCAGCGGGTGGCATACCGTAGGAAGGCAGCTCGTCGTCTGCTTGACGGCATGTCACGCGTTTTGCTCTCGCAAGTTAATTAAAAGATACTAAAGAAGTCACAGCCAAGGGCTCTGGGCCGTATCTTAGCCTGTATCTCGCTGCCAGTAACTGGTGCGCGGTCTATCAACGATATTTTAATTGAATTTGCATGACAATTCCAACGAGAACTTGCAATTTAAAGATAGCGACACTCTCAACCACAAGCTCATCCGCCAATCAGCTAGTCAGGGATGAGCGCGTGAGTGTTGTTAGATATGCTAAATATACTAATTTCTTTGCCAAATGCAAAATTGCATTATCGATAAATTGGCAAATCTACTTAAAGTGTTATCGAGTTAAACAGTTCAATTATTTAGTTACATCGATAGACAATGTTCATCGTGCTTTTCCAATTTGAAATTCAGCCTTAAGTTGCTTTTGCAGCTATTTTTAGCCAGCTGCGCGATTCGTATAAATATTCAATCGGACAACGTGTAAACAATGTGCCACGTAGCAGCTATTCCACTTCCTGTCTTGTTCGCCCACTCACACAGACGCACACAGACACACACAGACAGCATGAGCGATCGATGAGGTAAAGAGTGAGTGGCTTACTGGCTGGATGCTGGGACTTGACGCAATTGCCAAGCAGCTGAGAGCCATAATTAAAAGATACAATTTCAATTGCTCTGAACAAAATGGCAAGCAAATTTGTAAACTGCTCTTAGTATGTGTGTGCGTGTGTATGTGTCTGTATGAGTGTGCGATTTGGATCTATACACTTGAGTGTGTCATACTTAGCCACGTAGGTCCACCACTTGGGCGTGTGTATGTATGAAAACGTTGTACAGCATAATGAATAAAGTGGCGCACATTGCAGCCCAGCTGAGCTTGGGGTGGGAGTGAAAAAAATATAACTAAAAAGAGCAGCTATAAGGCACACCGAAACTAAATTACACTAACAAATGTTAAAGAGTCATATTTACAAGACATTTCTCGTAGTGAAACTTGTTGATGTAGTTTTTGATAGATACAAAATTTGTTATTATTATTTTTTTTTTTCTGCTTCTCAGTTATATAGGAAAGTTTGCGAAAGTCGTGACATTTTCCGTTTAAACTCGAAACTTGCAAGTTATAAAGTTACATAGCTTATAGCATACTTATAATACTTTTTGGTGGTGTATATTGAAACGCATTTGGGAGCCTGTCCCGGCTGGTTGTCTTTTGTTTGGTTCTGCGGCTCTGGTCAAGAGCGGACGCGTTGTCCACTGCCTGTCAAGCGTTATTGTTGTTGCTCGTTCTTATTGTTATTGTTATTATTGCTGCTTTTGCTGCTGCTGCTGGTTCTGCTCCTCTTGTCAGCGTTTGCTTTTGTTACGCTCCAACAACAGGCTCGCAAATTTATATGTATGCCCTGCCGCTGCCTATTTGTTTGCCTTTGTTTCAGTAACAACGACAGCAAGCACAGCACAGCGAGAACCACGGTGAAGCAGCAAACTAACTAACGAAACACAATGCAACGTCAAAATTATTTAACTAATTGCACCCCACAGATTTAGCTCATGCCTTGCACCGGAGTCATACTTTATATAAAAATAGGTTTTCAATTGATTGCTTTCATGATTTATGGCTGTAGCCCAAGTCCATTTGAACAATTGGTTTTCGTTTGTCTAACTTTGTTTGAATAGAAAATAATTGAAAATAATTGATATATAAATAGCTATAGAAAATATGCTGAAAATCTTTATTTATTTTAAACTAAAGTTGCATATTTG